TGAGATTTGAACCGCCGAACTGCAGATAGCAGTCAGATGGAGTGGCCTGCAGTACTGCACTCTAACCACTGCGCCACCTCGGCTCATATGCAGGGATTCACTTAACAATGGTGGCAAGAAAGGTCATAAATTGGGACAAAATTCACTTAACAACTGTCTGACTTAGCAACAAATTTTGGGCTCAATTGTGGTTGTAAGTCAAAGACTACTTGTAACTATGAATTGTTTTATTAATATCCATGTTCAGCTTTCTATTAAGCATAGTTCCAGTTAAAGGTAAAGGTTTCCCTGCACATGCGTGCTAGTCGTTCCTGACTCTAGAGGGCAGTGCTCATCTCTGTTTCTAAGCCGAAGAGCCAGCGCTGTCCGAAGACATCTCTGTGGTCATGTGGCTGGCATGACTAAATGCCAAAGACGCACAGAACGCTGTTCCCTTCCCATCAAAGGTGGTTCCTATTTTTCCACTTGCATTTTTACATGCTTTCAAACTGCTAAGTTGGCAGAAGCTGAGACAAGTAATGGGGGCTCACTCCGTTATGTGGCACCAGGGATTCGAACCGCTGAACTGCCAACCTTTTGATCGACAAGCTCAAGCAACTGAGCCACCACATCCCTTAGTTCCAGCTATGGATATATTTATTTACAAATATCCAGAATGAGCAGGGATGGATGGACACATCCCCAATTCATGGTTTGGTTTTCCACACCGAAAATTTACAGAGCCCTGTTTTAACCGCTTGTTCTCTTTTTCTCTTAGCTATTACCTGCCCACCCAATGCTTACTACGATTTCTGTGGCACAGCCTGCCCACTCACTTGCGCCAACTACACTGCTCTCATTGAATGCCCCATAACGTGCGTCGCAGGATGCACCTGTCTGGAGGGCCACGTCCTGAATGAAGGCGCATGCATTCCCCTGGGACAGTGCGGCTGTCGGCACAACGGCCGTGACTATCAGCTGGGAGAAGAGATGGTCCTGCCAGACACCTGCAGCAAAAGGTGTTCTTGCAAACAACCTGGCCGCCCTTTGGAGTGCCAGGAGCTTACCTGTGGGCCTCGGGAGATATGCAAAACCGTGGGTGGCATTTGGGACTGTTATCCTGTGTCGTACGGGACTGTGTGGGTATTTGGCTACTTTCACATTATCACGTTCAGTGGGGCGGCCTTGAGCTATCAAGGACCATGTACATACATCCTCACCCAATATTGTGGCCCTCCCGGAAAGCTACCTGCATTCACCATCCGCATAGTAAATGGGCACAGATATTCCATTGCAGCATCTTGGACTAGGCAACTTACACTGGATGTCTACGGGGAACACATCGTTGTAAAAGAAGGACAGGAAGGCAAAGTTCAGGTAAGAGGGGCTTTCTGCAAACTCCCGGTAGCAGTAGCAAGAGCACTTAAACTTATATACCGCTTTACAGTGATTTACAGCCCTCCCTAAGCAGTTTTACAGAGTCGGCACATTGCCCCCAACAATTTGGGTCCTCATTTTACCCACCTCCGAAAGATGGAAGCCTGAGTCTTCCTTCAGCTGGTGAAAATCGAACTGCCACACTGCAGACAGTCGGCAGTCAGCAGAAGTAGCCTGCAGTACTGCATTCTAACCACTGCACCACCATGGCTCAGTACAGGGGATGGTTCCTGCCAGCATTACTACTGTTTCGGGGCGCAAAAAATCCTCAATATATTATTTACACATACATAAAAGGAAAATGTCTAATGCCATCTCCTCTTTTGTGCTTGATTACCTATCTATTTTTAAAATATTAATCCAATTCACAACAATAGTATTAGTAATCTCTATCACATTCATCCTCATATTGTTCAAACATACATAAACAAAAATGGCCTAACTCCTCATCTTTGTCTCTATCTTCATCTGTATCTGTCTTGTTCAATCTAAACATTGAGAGACCGCCTTGAGAGACCACCTGCTGCCAATTACCTCCCAAAGACGCATTAGATCACACAGGGTTGGCCTCCTCCGGGTTCCGTCTACCAGCCTACGACCCGGGGGGAGGGCCTTCTCTGTGGCAGCTCCGGCCCTTTGGAACGAACTCCCCGCAGAGATTCGGACCTTCACCTCTCTCCAGGCCTACCGAAAAGCCGTTAAAACCTGGCTGTATCGGCAGGCCTGGGGGTGATGAGCTCCCTTCCCCTTTCGACTTGTGTGGCTGTTGGCTTTTTTAAATGCTTGTCTTGTACTTTTGTGTTCCCTTTCCCCCTTTGAGTTGTTCGCCGCCCTGAGTCCTGCCGGGAATAGGGCGGCATATAAATAAAACAAATGTCAATCTCATCTTTTTCCCACCATGAAACCCTCACTAAAGCAGTTGCTGCCTCCAGGAG